TTACAGCTTGCACGGACGGGCGGACAGACAGACATCCGAATTTCAACTCTACTCGTCACCCTGATCACTTTGGTATATATAATCCTATATCTGACTCTTTTAGTTTTAGGACTTACAAACAACCGCTATGTGAACAAAACTATAATACTCTCTTTAGCAACTTTGTTGCGAGAGTATAAAAACATGAAATTAATAAACAAAAAAAAAAAAAAAAAAATTAACTAGTATTGCGCAATCAAGTTAAATACGAAAGTACATTTTATTTCATAAACTCATACGTACATCAACTCGTTTTAAAATGCATTTACGAATGATTGCAAATGGTACTAGCACATTTAAGCAATACTGATGTTATGATCTTTAAACTTCTTCCCTTCACACACCGCAATATTATATAACATACACCATGATTTGGTGAGCGAAATTTATCAATTAAACAATTTTTGACGTTATTTGTTGCTGCCTTATATGCTTTACAGTATAAATTTCGATCTGTTGTAACTTTGCAACGAGCCTGAAGCATATACTGCGATAGAAATACATTTGAAGTTGCAACAAACGGTTTGCGAACTGACATTTATTGGAATATTCAGGACATATATCCACCGTGGAAAGATGACAATATGGGTAAAATTTGTAATCAAAATTATCTTCATCAACGACCATAAACTATCGACTTTACTATTAACTTAAAACAAGTTCCAAAAGTAAATATGCACGCTCGAACGCTTTACATCACCAACCTGTCTACAAAATAGATAACAGATTAATAACTTAGTACAATAAAAATATATTCAACGAATATTTGAAAATATGTTTGTAGATCAAACAAACGGGTAGTTTTTCAATTATGAGTCTGCTCTAAATTTAGGCCAAAAGGTATTAAGATTTATCTGAGTTGTTTACAAGTGTATACACATAAATATTTTTCACCTTATATATGAACAAAATAGTAAAATATATATTTTTCAGATAGTTTAAAAAATTTATAAATAAGTAGTACAGTTATGAGAGTCCATTCGTCCATATCCAATTGATTGTATTTTAAAACTGTTTTTTTTTAAATTATTTGCTTTAATTTTGCCATCTATAATTGTATGCTTTGCAGATATGCTATTGAATTCTCCTTTGCATTAAATTTTTTCTAAGCATTTCAATTTTTACCAAGCATTAATGCTACTTTTTCAGCGCCGCATTTTGCAATAGTTTTCTAACGATTACTTTTTAAAAATAAACCTAAAGGCCCATGAACTCTACTTATTTATTTCACTTTACTTGTGACGTTTAACGTCAATTAATTGTGTATTTTGCAGTGTATTATTTTCTACTTCTATATGATTATGCTGCGGCGGCATTTTAATTTAAGTTAAATGTGCATACCTTATACATATCTTATGAATTATAATTTATTATATCCTTCATTTGCATGTTATGGATCTTAGTTTATTTTCCTTTTTTAAATATTATTATTTACTGTTGAACCTTTGTTTTTATTGTTAAATATGTATGTATGTGTATGAATGAATGCTTGTATAATTGTGATATTGGTGAACTGCTAACACTACAACAAGTAAAATTGAAACGTTCTATATACTACTTTATACTGCACTAAATACTACAAATATTTTAATTTTTTATTATATTTTTGGTCTTGTGCTTCTCTCTGTGTTGAATTGAACATTTTGTTTTTCGTTTTTGTTTTATAAACTTTGCTAAATCTAATCTATTTGCAACTATTGCATGTTTTTGTTGTTATTTATCAATTTTTTATTGTGGCTTTTAATTAAATTTTTAACTTTTGCTTTAGCTTAACTCACTTAACTTTAATTTCATAGAATTTACTTTGACTTTTGTGTCATTTCAAAATGTTTAACCTCACTTCCTCATAAGTTTCAGCAAACTTTTCGCCAATCGCGAGTTTTCGCAGTTTCTGTGGTTAAAATTTAAGCTTCGAAAATTATGCAGTAGTTATATAATCATAAATTAAAGTATTTTGATATCAGTGACAGAATTGAGCGTACGACTTTTAAATTTGTATAATTGAAGACCTTTTAAATTTTAGCACAATTCATCTTAATAACTATTTTTTTTATAATTTATATGCATTAACTTATGCGCGTTTCCAATAAATTAACTTTTACTCAAACATATTTTACTCTTTGCGAGTCAAGCACGATTGTTTCGTAGCAGTAGAGGTAAGCAATACATCTTATACAACTCTTATTTACAAAATATATACAAGCAATGGAAGCAGAAAAGCATTAAAGTTTTATTAACAAAATATATAAATGCAAAAATAACTAAACCTTTAAATACATTTAACGGTTTTATTTCAATTAATTAGTACCGGTTTATACAAAAGCAAGAACAGCAGGAAAAGTTGGTTGAACGCATAGGATTAAGGAACAAGTTAAAGTCAGAAAATCGACAATCTACGTAAAATAATACAAATAAAAACATTTTATAATATAATGGCGCTGAATAAAGTTCAAAGCTTTTGTATCCTGTAAGTGTTCGTTAATTTAAGCTTTTGAGGTTTTTATTGTTAATTAATTTCAACTTCATCTTTTTTCCTTTGAAGAATGGTATTTCTTACATGTTCTAAAAAATAGTAACTAATTTAAAGTGTTGGAAAAATAGATATTTGGATTTCAAATTAACTACTAGACTCTGCTTTATAACTGCGAAACTGTAGATTAACTATTGCAAGGAGGATAAGGCATTTACGTGAACTAATTACTTTTGGAAAACAAGCAATGTGGTGAAAAACACTTTTCTGAATTAGCTCGCCTTGAAAAATAATTTTGGAAAATACATTTTATTGAGTTTATCTCAAATTTACTACAATATTGCACTTATTTTTGGAATAAGTTTAGAAGTTTTTGTATAAAATTGTAAAAGAATTTGTCTGAAGTCATTTCTGCCATTTTTTATACCAACTGCGTAAAATACCTTCGCTGTTTATTAAAGCAAAAACAATATATAT